ATATATTCATATTCATATATTCATATTCATATATATATATATATATATATATATACATATTCATATATTCATATTTCGTCAGCATATTTTCTGCAGCTTATTTCCATATATTCAATTGCTATATTATAAATCAAACAAAGTTTTATAATTGATAATGGTGCTTTAAGGTAATTCTGCAGTTTTGCATTGCGCACTTTTACTGCGCACGTCTTATAACTTATAATTTTATTCATTGTACGTACCTTTTAAAAAAAAATCATTTTATGACAATTTTATGTTACTTCAAAACATCTTTGGTTACATTCGTGCAAAGAATTACGTTAAAATCAATGTTTTCAAAAAAGGCAAACAAAAGTGTTGCTAGGCCTAGGGTTCCTGTGTCTGTAGTATATTTATTTACTTGTAGTTCACGTTTTAATGCCACAATTCCCTAAAAAGATCGGTGGCTCCCGTTTTTAACAGATAATTTATTTCTTTAATGCATTTTACATGTCTTATCCGAAATTAAAAGAAAAAAAATGCTTTATCAATGGATGTTCTCAAAGAAAGATATGTAATGAAATGTGGAAGAGACATTTGTGGATCAGAATTGTACACGTTAGTAGTTTCATTTTGCTCAAAACGCAATATTTTTTCAAAAATAATTACAAGATAGGTTTACTAAAGCAAAATACCCGCTAAAAACGTCAATAAATATCGGGCTGCTGTGAGTTTGCTGTTACTCGTAATGAGCGTCAAGATGGCGCCATATTTGGGTAAAGGTGGTAAATTGTGATTGACATATCTTCTGCATCCTAAACTCCAAGACTGGGAAGTTTCAGCACATTCTCATTTCTGGAACAATTACTGCGGAATTACCTTAATATGTTAGATCTTACTCTCAAGATAGCCATACATTAAGGATGCTATTAGCCAGGCCGCCAGCATCTATATTGGCATGGATTGAAGTAGGCGTAGAACCTTACGTTGATTTACCCGCGTCTATACTGGTCGTGTTGCCTGGATATTTTACATACGTTAATTAAATACTATGTTCACAATTTGAATTACTTACCATCTCCAAATCTTATTTCCAACAATTTTTCTTTCAGTCTTGTAAAAGTTGGTCTCTGTTCTATCGTTTTCATTGTCAACTCAATGAGCCCTTGAACCGAATCAGGGATCTTTGGATGTAGTTCGAGTCTATTTCCAGATAAGACCTGGAGAAAAAAAGGCATAGTATGTTAATTTTTCAATGAATAATGCTAAGCAAGAAATCATCCCCGAGCCAACGGCGCAGAGCTCTGTTCGGGCCGCAAGCCTGCGGCGAGGGTACTAATTCAGCCCAGCTATTTACACCCGGGGAAAGGAAAGCAATGACGTAGTCTAAAGTGGAGTCATGCTGTATGGGTGGACCTTTCACTGATCTCAAAAATATGGGTGATTGCCAGGAGTTGGATAAGCAAGATTTTTTCAATTTTGAAAGACATGTATTTGGAAGATACAACGATCTTTAAAGCAATTTTTGTTTGAAGAAATGGGAACATTTATTTAATTTGGAAATCGTGAAATATAGGCAAGTTTATGAATTTTGTTGCTTTAAATTTATGCCTACAAGATGAACTGTTTTCCTTTCCAACGAAGCAGTACAGTAAGTTTCCTAAATTACCCTTGTTAATTTAAAAAGAAAATAATTAAAATGTAAATGAGTGCAAATTACCTAACAATTTGTACTTATTAATATGTTTCATTAAGTGAAAACAGTTTAACGACAAATGTACTTTAGTTGAAAGAACATATAAAAGCATTTTACGAAGCGATTCAATTTCAATTTTTCATTAATTCACAAAATGCAAAATAAAATACCTACATTATATTTTCCGGAAATCCATTGCTCAAGCGTTAGAAGTATTAGTCTTTCAAATATTTTACCGTTTTGTGCAAAATTATAAAATAATTATCGTGTTGTCATGGTAACACTTGGCGCGAGGCTGCTTTCAGTGTTATCTATTTCCGAATATTTTATGTAAATTTAATGTTTTGAAAATATAGGGGACAGTTTGCTTCATGCCTTTCTAGTAACTAGAAATACATGCATGCAACAACCCCTCGCTTATATTTTCCAAACATTGTCCCAACATGAAGTATTCGTAATTACGCCAACACTGAATGCAGGTTCGCGTTGCTCACGTCATGTTAGTCATGGCAACACGATAATTTTTTTTTTTGTATTTTTTGCACAAACCTGCAAAAAAATATAATGTAGGAATATTATTTTGCTTTTTATTTTAATGTAAAATTCAAAACGAAACTCTGCCTAAAACTTTTTTAAATGTGAATTGAAATTAACTGCTTTTTGCCGATATTAAGCTAATAAACTGTTCAACTCGAGCTTCAACTTATTACTCGCACTTTGAAATGAAATGAAATGAATTTAGAAATTTAATTCGTACAGGACGCTAATGAATATAATTTGCTTATTTTTTTATCATGAACTTCAACAAAAGTTAATTTAAACTAAGAAACTTTCGCATACAATGCATAGGAAAGACTTGAACAGCAAGAACAAAGTCTATAATTATTACACTGGCCTGTAGGCCAAGTGTTTAAATCCCTCTTTTTCTGTTTTCTGTTTTCTTCGTCGTCGAGAAGTGGAGTTTGTGTTAGCTCATCGCAGGCTCAGGGTGCAACGATTAAGCCAAAATTCCATCGATTCCCCTAGGTTCCATGATTTAGATATTATAGTAACAAGCTCGTATTTATGTACGTAATTGCCGGCTCATGCCATGCTTGTGCTACATTTTTCGTTTATTAGCCCATACCCTTGTACGCACGCGTACAATTCCGAACTTCAAGGTTAGAGTGCTCCAGTGACATATTCAGTTCAATTTCAAAATGGCGGGTTTTCACTGAGGGACTAATATATATTTCAGACAGTTTCGTCCAATTTTCAAAGAATTGTGCCGGTTTCTTGTGGAAAATATGTTGTGTTGCACTCTGGACTCTCTTGCGTGTTGAATTGATGTGTTTTTCTTTGTGTAACGACTCGAAAACCCCAAAATTTGGAACCAGCGAATTTATATAATATAGTGGATTAATTGGTATGTAAACAAGGACAAGTTTAAGGTTTGACAGTTTGACTTTTAAAATAACAAGTATAAATATACGTTGTAGACTCATAAACAAGCGTTGTGCACTTGTGTTTATTTGCATAATTATAGATTTCCGCCTAATTACATTAATTTGCGCCAAATTGGCAAATTACTTTCCATTTCATCACATATTACCATAAAAATGTATTTTTTTATTGTATTCAGCGAGGTGACGTTGCGTGCGGCGAAGTCAGTGAAACGTGATACGGTTCAATTTGTTTTTGGAACAAGATCCAACTTTTCCCCCCACTTTTTTTAATTCTCAAATTGTTTATTAGATGTTTACTGGCTGGTGTTACAGAAGGGCTTTGTTTGGGATCAGTTTATCTTACAATCGTGCCAATAGAAGCGTTCCGAGAAATGTTGATCAATTCATATCCCAACTTCGAGGAATTCCTCTGAGCAATTCCTCAACAATTTGATAAGTTCCTTAAAAAGTTCCTAACTTCCTGTTTCATCGACCAATCAGATTTTATATTTTATTTTTGAGCAATCTGATTGGTCAATGAAACAGGAAGTTAGGAACTTTTTAAGGAACTTTTCAAATTTTTGAGGAATTCTTCAGAGGAATTCCTCTGAGTTAGAAATGAATTGACCAACCTGTTTTTACGAAGACCATTGATCTGAGCTTCAAAATTAAGTGTCATGTTTCAATATTCAGCCATGCAATTACATTCCTGACTGCTAAAATATGTCAAACTTAACTATTATGAGCAAATTTCATCATAATTTCTCACAGGCCGTGTCATGGCCAATCGGACATCACTACTCCCAATGTTAGAAATCATGGGCGGATTTTTCTGGGGGGTGGGGGTTAAACCCCTCTAATAAAGTGTTCAACTCCACCAAAAATTCTGCTTCAACCCTCCTATTTTGTGCGAAAGGCTTTAACCCAAACGCCTAATCCCTGCCAAAGCTCACTGAGTGGTGCCGCTTGCAACCCACCAAAAATTTTTCTACCCCTTCTTTTAAATAATTGAAAATCCACCCTGATTGTTAGAAATGTTGTAGCATTCCGAATTTACCTCATGATTAGTGTATCAGTGACTCACTTAAATCCCGGCAGCTTCTGGGCAACATTTTTGTTCTTGCCATGTAACTATGACATCATACTGTGTAAAACTATATAGTTTTATATAGTTCTGAACAGACAATGGTAAAATGATATCTATTTTTAGTAAAATTATGAGTAAAACATCTGGATTTAATCTCACAGATTGAGTAAAATAAGAAAGTAGCCAAGGTTCATTGCAGCTTAATGGGCTGACTATATATCTCGGGCTGCTTATTTGCAGATAGTGTAATTAACCCACTGCGTGGCAGCAGGGAGCAGTCTCAATCCCTTTAAAATCGTCTGTAGACAGACAGAGTAAAATAATAAAGACTGTCTTTAGGGCTCATCGATCAGCCGACAGAGCACATACATTGTCACATGTAGGTGGGCCTCCTCTACGGCTCAACTCTCTCTGATCTTGTTCTTATCTATATATACTAATTCTGCACTGTGATGGGCAAGTATATAAATTTCACACCATATTTAATAAACGTTTTAAAAGATACGAACATGTAAACAACCACAATTTTTAGTATAAATTAAAAGCTGGCAGTCTGGCAATAAAACCACAAAGGCCAATGCTGACACAAAACAACAATTTCATGTACACAATTTTTAATTGTTAACAATACTTTTATGTCCCCTATTGAAATATTCGCTGTATATATTAGGATGATGAGTTTTTGACATAATATGAAGGGTCTAGTGACTCTAGCGGTCTAGAAAGTTATAAAAAAGTTTCGTGAATCTTACCTGAAAGAATTAGTCTTTCTTTGTAGTCTTTGTAGTGAACTGCTGCATCCACAAGCGAAGCAAACCCGCACCCTCGCTCCGCGTTGTAAAACAAGTAATGTTCGAGGGAAATATTAAGATTTTTTAGCTCAAAAACAACAGAAAACTCGAGACAAAACTTTATATCGATATCGTAATATTTGCCCAAAAACCAGGGGGTTAAGGACATCGTCGGAAGTTTAGGATCGCGGTTGGTCAGTGGCAGTTACCATGAAAATAAAGTAAGTGTTGTCATGGAAATGGCGTAATAGCCGCCATGTTTTCGGCTTCACTTGATGATGCCGAGCAGGTCCTCCGGTAATATAGTATAGCTCAGTGGTTTCAATGAATATTTTTGCACTATTCACTTCTACTTCCGTGAATAATACCTATGTTAAATAAAACCTTCACATAGCACACTGAATCACAACTCTAGTAAGAACAATCTGCCATACAAATGTTTTCAACTTCCTCTCTCCAAAGCATTTACAATAATTTTTAATGAAAGTTTTAACACTTCCTGTATGTAGAGCTAGAGTTGCTTCGTGGCAAGTTGTTCGGCGCCGAAGCTTCCCGAAAAAGATCGATATATTCCTGATAACATTAGTATTTAGTTTATTTAAATGGAGTTTAATGCCATTGCTCCTTATAGCTGATGCATACCACTGTTGTTAAGTTTAATTTAATCAAACTGATAAAGTAGAAACACACTCTCATGTTTTTCTTTTCCCCTGCTTTAAATCATCGTTTTGCGCATTTATTATAATATTTTGACCAATGTTATAAAGCTGTATTTGCTTAAAAATGGATGCATAAAAGGCAGCTTTTCATTTTGATTCTAACGAGGATTAAGTGGGTTTCAATCGACGTTCAAGAGAAGTTAAATAAAATTTCTAGGTTATTATCAGATAATTGCTTACTTACAAATTCACGAACATCCTCGTCACGCTCTAAAGACCGTCCACTTGGCATGTTGTCATATGGCTTGCAGCCAAAGGTAAATATCTCAAACAGTAGCACACCGAACGACCATACATCACTTGCACTACTGAATTCACCCATCCGAATTGCTTCAGCAGCCATCCAACGCACCGCAAACTGATTGAAAAAATCTTCATTTACCGGTGATTTCACAGATTTGCATGGTTGATCTTCACCAGTTGGAGACCTCGCACCAGAATATGAAAGAATTGCAAGATGGAAGTCGCCAAGTTTAGTTAGCAGCTTTCTTTCGCGCATGAAGACAAAGCAATTCTTGGCCCCCAAATCACGATGGATTATGTCATGGACGCCGAGATATAGCATGGCATTGCTAACATCTACAGCAATCTGGAGTAGTACGTCAGCTTCAGGGGGGTCTTCAAGGCCTTTAAGGTATGTCAACAGATCGCCCTTAGGCGTTCTCTCCATGATCAAATGCATCGGAGCTTCAAAGCTTGAGCCAAGTAGTTGGACTATATTTGGGCATGGTTCTACGACAGCATTCAAAATTTTAAGAATTTCTATTTCTTCTCGTAAAGGAACAGCCTTTAAAGCGTCTGTTCCCAGCATCTCTTCCTTGGAATGTTGGTGTAGTTTCACCAAACATTTCTTGCCGTTCATCAGAGCACCATAAGTATTGACACGGTATTGCACAAGCTGAACTCGTGATTCTGGTAAGATCTCCAATACTTTATCTCGATATGTTGACGAGACGTGAAGAATGGACAAATCCTCGATGAACTGTTTCTCATCGCCTTTGCAGTTCTCTGTAAGGAACCGCTTAAAACTGCTGGGTGTTGCAACAAATACAGCCCTCTGACATAATTTTTCAAGATGTTCCAAGACAATTTGGTCCTGTTCATCCTTGGTTTCCTTCGAGTTATTTTCATCCCAGCTTCTGAGAACACCGCCACAGCCTTGCTCACCAGTCAAAGCCTGTTCAATTATCGCTAGAAAATAATAAAAAAAGTTGTACATGACATCCGAGTGGTTGGCAGCCAACTTCAGCCAATTTTCTATTGCAGCTGTGAATATTAAAAACAGAGCGTCTGATATAGTATGCAGTGGCCTATCTATATGATATTGGGCACACCGTATTGACCGAATCGACCAGCTACCACAATTTAACATTATTTTATTTTTATGTATCACCAGGCTAATAAGCAACTTTTCAACAAATACTGTTATTCAAACGGGCAGTGTCATGGCGCTGATTGGCCGAAATAAACCGCGCAAAGAAACGTTTAAAATTAATGCTACATGATTGGAAAAGATGGAGCAGCCTTCAGTTTTTAAACGAAGAAGGATGTCCTACATAACGAAGGGATTATAAATAGCATATCGTATTTCACTCCTAACTTGATTAATTGTTGGCATACAGTTTTTCCAGTTCGCGCATATTTTGCATGCGCAGTAGAAACGTGACACTGCCCCTTTAAGACAAAGTGTAAGAGATTAAAAACAATCCATGCAAGCAAAATTAGAGCCCTTTGGAATGTGCAAAAAGCACCAAAACCAGGCTAGTCAGGCTTAAGATTATTTTTAAGAGTTGTTTTTTGCACAATTATCTTTTTCAGTGCGAATTTCTTGGAATTTTATGCCGCCACCTTATATTTCGCCAAATGTTTTGCTAACCTGACAAAATTATTGCGTGATTTTTTTCTCACTTTTAACTTTCTTAGTTGTGCTTCGCAGAACTGTTGTAGTTTTCGTGCTGCCGCCTGGTTTCTTGCAGCGGAAATGAACATTTGGAAATGAACATAGTGACCTGCTTCGTCAGGTCACGAATGCTGCGCGTGCTGAGTTTCAGGGGATGAAATATCGAATGACTATCGATTCCGTTTAAATTCCGGTGGCGAAATATAATGATTCTGGACGTAGGTTAAAGCTATAAAATAAGCACAAGTGAATACGAAAGAATAAGCAAAGAAATTCATCGAGGCATGCTAATAAGCGTCTAAACCTCTAAGGATGCAAAAGAATAAATTACGACATGCCAAAAAGATCAGGTTCCAAATTGTGACAAGAGTTAATTAGCTAGTAACAATCCTCAAATGTTCATTAGATAGCTACTACAAATATGTGTAAGAACGTCAAGCAATGATCCTTTACTTATTTGAGCTGTTGGAATATTGCAATATACAGTACGTTGCGAGCGACATTTGATGTATGCGTTCGCGTATAATTAACCCAAGAAAATTCAAAATGGCCGACATATATATATATTCGAAGGTCAAACTTTTCTGGATCCAGTGTATATATGTATGTATATATATATATATATATATATATATATATATATATATATATATATATATATATATATATATATATATATATATATATATATATATATATATAACAAATATAAAACATTTTTTCCGTATTGATATACAGTTATATTAACACTCGTGGATGTTAGAAAAACTCGAAATTGTGTGAAAACACTCCACTCGTGTTGATATAACTGTATATCAACACGGAAAATGTTTTTTATTTGTTAAATATTTAATAATCTACGGCATGTGTTTGTTATTATCCAATTCAAGTTTTGAAAGCTATTTTACTACTCGGTATATTAAAAATATTTGTAGACTTTTCGAAAAATACACCCAAATTTGAAAACATATGATGAAAATGTGAGCATTTTTCAATTAAAGCAACTATTTACTTTAAATTACCCCCCCCCCCCCCCCCGAAACAATGTTGGTTCAGGTAAAGTGGATTTGCAACACATGTCACCTAAATACCAACATTGTATAAGGGGGGAGGGGGACAAAGTTTGAAAATTTAAGAAGTCTACTAATTTTTTTCCAGGATTGTCTCTGAATTAAGCCAAACCCTTAACCTTTAAGGGATAGAAATTAAATTTTTTGGACATATAAAATTTTCTATTCTATTATGTTGTTATGAAAGTCAAGTGGCACATATGTCAGTAGAAACAGACTCCCAAAACAATTTTCCGGGGGGGGGAGACTTCCCATGGTACGATTATAGGAAATAGGCGTATATTACCGCCCACAGCTCGGGTTATCCTTGCAATTTCGTTGAATTTGGACACGATTATAAATGTTTTTATACTTTTGAATGTATAGTAAATTTAATATTAGCTTCAACTTAGAATCCTCTAGGTTTAACACCCTTTTCAAAATGTTTTACTTAGTATTTGCTCCGGAAAATAAGCGAATTTAATTTCATAAAATACACATAACTGCTTGATTTCTTGAGTTCTTTTGGATTAAATAAACTAAGAGATATTTCTGCTCGTTTATCGGTTGGTTGTGTCTTAAATTATGTTAGGATTAATTTATTTTTAAGGTTTTCAGTTCTCTATGCACATTTTCAACGATTATAGGTTTGAACAAATCTCAATCTTCACATGTTACATCATGTTACATCATGTTACACTACATGTTACACTAAAATTACTATACTTTACTATAGTTCTTGACATGTTACTACATGTTACACCTATATTTTTAAAAGGAACTATAGATATTTTTAAAGGTAGGTGTAACATGTTGTAACATGTGAGGATATATAATAAAATATAGAACTTTTAGTGTAACATGTACTGTAACATGTGGTGTAACATGGTGTAACATGTAGTGATTTTACTCAGACAGTACGTTTATTAAATAATAATAAGATATTCGTTAAGACAAGCACCAATTTTGAGATAATCACGGGTACATGCGCTATAAAAGCATATTGAAACCGTATTAAAACATACTTTATAGGTACAATTCCGCACTATAAAATTTTAATGATCGACAAAATATGTGAAAAAATGTGACGGTCATGAAATATTGTACAATGTAATAATCTATATATGCCATATCTGTCCCTCTGATAGTTTTTTGTTATTAACTGCCATATTTTTTTGTCAATGCAGCCTTATTGGATAAATTAATCACAATTTTCCTTAAAACATGGGCACCTACATTAAGCCGCCCCCCGTCTACCGACCCCCCTGGCTTTCAAAAAGTTTAATCAAACCCTGAATTATGTTCCTAATATAGAGTCCTTTTTAATTTGAAAATTATGTTTTGAAAACGACTGAACAATTAACTTGGTAAAATGATTATCCGTTGTATTTTTTCAGACAATCTTGGAAAAAATATTTGTAGACTTTTCGAAAACTACACCCAAATTTGAAAACATATGATGAAAATGTGAGCATTTTTCAATTAAAGCAACTATTTACTTTAAATTAACCCCCCCCCCCCCCCCCCCGAAACAATGTTGGTTCAGGTAAAGTGGATTTGCAACACATGTCACCTAAATACCAACATTGTATAAGGGGGGAGGGGGACAAAGTTTGAAAATTTAAGAAGTCTACTAATTTTTTTCCAGGATTGTCTCTGAATTAAGCCAAACCCTTAACCTTTAAGGGATAGAAATTAAATTTTTTGGACATATAAAATTTTCTATTCTATTATGTTGTTATGAAAGTCAAGTGGCACATATGTCAGTAGAAACAGACTCCCAAAACAATTTTCCGGGGGGGGGGAGACTTCCCATGGTACGATTATAGGAAATAGGCGTATATTACCGCCCACAGCTCGGGTTATCCTTGCAATTTCGTTGAATTTGGACACGATTATAAATGTTTTTATACTTTTGAATGTATAGTAAATTTAATATTAGCTTCAACTTAGAATCCTCTAGGTTTAACACCCTTTTCAAAATGTTTTACTTAGTATTTGCTCCGGAAAATAAGCGAATTTAATTTCATAAAATACACATAACTGCTTGATTTCTTGAGTTCTTTTGGATTAAATAAACTAAGAGATATTTCTGCTCGTTTATCGGTTGGTTGTGTCTTAAATTATGTTAGGATTAATTTATTTTTAAGGTTTTCAGTTCTCTATGCACATTTTCAACGATTATAGGTTAGAACAAATCTCAATCTTCACATGTTACATCATGTTACATCATGTTACACTACATGTTACACTAAAATTACTATACTTTACTATAGTTCTTGACATGTTACTACATGTTACACCTATATTTTTAAAAGGAACTATAGATATTTTTAAAGGTAGGTGTAACATGTTGTAACATGTGAGGATATATAATAAAATATAGAACTTTTAGTGTAACATGTACTGTAACATGTGGTGTAACATGGTGTAACATGTAGTGATTTTACTCAGACTGTACATTTATTAAATAATAATAAGATATTCGTTAAGACAAGCACTAATTTTGAGACAATCACGGGTACATGCGTTATAAAAGCATATTGAAACCGTATTAAAACATACTTTATAGGTACAATTTCGCACTATAAAATTTTAATGATATACAAAATATGTGAAAAAATGTGACGGTCATGAAATATTGTACAATGTAATAATCTATATATGCCATATCTGTCCCTCTGATAGTTTTTTGTTATTAACTGCCATATTTTTTGTCAATGCAGCCTTATTGGATAAATTAATCACAATTTTCCTTAAAATATGGGCACCCACATTAAGCCGCCCCCCGTCTACCGACCCTCCTGGCTTTCAAAAAGTTTAATCAAACTCTGAATTATGTTCCTAATATAGAGTCCTTTTTAATTTGAAAATTATGTTTTGAAAACGACTGAACAATTAACTTGGTAAAATGATTATCCGTTGTATTTTTTCAGACAATCTTGGAAAAAATATTTGTAGACTTTTCGAAAAATACACCCAAATTTGGAAACATATGATGAAAATGTGAGCATTTTTCAATTAAAGCAACTATTTACTTTAAATTACCATTCCCCCCCCCCCCCCGAAACAATGTTGGTTCAGGTAAAGTGGATAAATACCAACATTGTATAAGGGGGGAGGGGGACAAAGTTTGAAAATTTAAGAAGTCTACTAATTTTTTTCCAGGATTGTCTCTGAATTAAGCCAAACCCTTAACCTTTAAGGGATAGAAATTAAATTTTTTGGACATATAAAATTTTCTATTCTATTATGTTGTTATGAAAGTCA